TGTCTTTCTTGCTTACTGTTATATTCTAGAGTGTCAAGTTGTGCCTACATAGAGTAAGAAGTCAGTATTCTTCAAAATTATTAATGAATGCCTTTTTGTCAGATTCATGCATAATCTTATTTATCTTATTTAATATGCAATACAACCCAGTAAGTTTGATGTTACAATCACCATTTTATAGATGAGGAATGGAACTTTAAAAAGATCACTTGGATAGTAAAATCATGTCTGAAATTCAAATCCAGGTCCTTCTAATGTCAAAGAAAAGGCTCATTATACATTCTAAACAGCTCATTTAGTCAAAAGGTATCAGATAAAGGTACTTGTCAAGGGTATGGATGCTCATAAGTAGGGAATTGTATTAAAGGGACCTTGGAAATACTTTACAAATCTTTTTCCTTCATTTGTGAGATTCTGGAAAGCACTTTCAAAGTGATATAAGCATGCAGTTGAAGACTCTATTCTGTAGTTTTAGCTCTTAAAAGTAAATTCTTATTTATAGGAACTTATATTAGAGGCTATGTTCTCAAATGTCTTATGGTATGTGGTCATTTTTAACAATATAGGGTCCTTGTATTGTGGAGTAATAAAGAAAAAATATGCTTCACATATTTCTGTAAGGATTGTGGACAATATAGACAACATTTTCAGATATTTTCAACTATTTTAGTTGTTTTATTCCTACTCTTTTTTCTTTTGCTTTTTTTTCCCAACTGTAAGTATAGTATACATTATTGTATACACAAACATACACACACACATAAATAATTTCTTTCATAAGTAGTCTTCTGACTCACAAAGCATAAGGAAATATCAAAGGAAGAAAGCTTCTGATAGAACTGTGGTTTAAGACTTCTGGAGCTATTAGTACAGTCAAATTAGAGGGTACTAACTTAAAGGGAAGAAGCATTAGTTTAGGTACCAGCTACTCTCCTTACATCATTTACTCTTCATTTCTTCAAGGTGACTAATTTTATTCCCAGTACTGCCAAGAAAGCTGATGATGAGAAAGGAAATATACCTTGCCTTACACACACCGCCAGAGATAAAAGGACACTTTTACTTTTTTTTACTCACTCTGGTAGTCTATCCGCAATCACATGCTACATTCATGCTTAGATTCTCTTAAAAACAAAAACTCCCAATAGTGGTTTCTCTTCAAAGTTTCTGCTTTCAGTAGTGTCCCTCAGTTGTAAAAATAAAAGGTGAGGCAATACAATACCACTCAGCCATGATAAGGAATAAAATTTTGTCATTTGCATCAACAAGGATGGAAATATAGGACATTATGTTAAGTGGAATAAGCCACAAAAAGACAAATATTGCACATCCTCACTTATATGTGAGTATAAAAATCATTCATAAGCGAGTACAAAAAAAAAAAATTAAACCAGAGGCTGGCAGGGATAGTAAGGAGGTGATTAAAGAATCAAAGATAGAATAAAGGGGATGATTAATGAGTATAAAAATACAGTTAGAAGGAATAAGATCTAGTCTTTGGTAGCACAATAGGGTTACTATTGTTAACAATAATTTACAATATATTTCAAAATAACAAAAAGTAGAATTGGAATGTTCTTGACACAAAAAAATGATCAATGCTTGAGGCGATGGATATTGCAGTTACCCTGATTTGATCATCACACATGATATGCTTGTATAAAAGTAGCACATGTACATCATAAATATGCACAACTGTTATGTATTCATAATTATTGAAAATTAAACATAAATAAATAAATACAGAAAGAGGACAAATAAATTACAGTATTCCCTTTATCTTGGAAACCACATATGTCCCTTATTATATAAGTTTCCTTGGAGTTCTAAGATAACTATACCAAGTGATTTATGGTATGTCATAATAATGGTTAAGCAGGTGGTCTCTGCAAATATAATGTGTTTAATTCCAGTTTCACCACTTACCAGCAAGCTGACTGATGTTGGGCAAATAACTTAAATCTCTTTGTGTCAATTTCTTTGTATGTAAAAATGGGGCTAAACATTATACCTATGTCTTACGGGTTTCATGAGTTTAAACATATTAGCACATGTAGATTATATACACCAGTGCCTGCAGGCAATAAGCATTTAATTGTTATAAGGTATAGCAGAATCAGGCATGACAGGAGCTTAGTTTTTCAGACTCATGAATTTTAAATATATGAACCCTCAACACTGGAACGTACATAAGAGCTTTTAGAGTAGAAAGAAGTAAAAGGTGTGGTAGAAGATCCAGCTACTGGCACCTATGCCATCTTTTGTTTTATTAGTAATTCTCAATAGCATCATCAGTAAAATAAATGTATTATTCTTTCAGATTTGAAAATTTCTCAAATTTCCAATCCATGTCACTGTTGCATAGAATTAGTCACGTAATAGATTCTTTTACTTTAGTTTTAAAGTTCTGTGGCTGTCAGTTCATTGAGATATCTGTGTTTGGGAGTGGAGAGGAGTTGGAATAATGCAGTGACTGGTAGTAAAGAACAAAGAATGGGAATGGTATTATGGTTTTGCTCTGCAAAGAGACCATATGTTGTTTTAGACTGTTATTCCTAAAATGTGAAAGCTGAGAACCAGTGACTGAATGACAAACCAATACTTTATGCAAATGACTTAAAGAAAGTATCAAAATTTTGATTAGCAACTCTCGTAAGAGAATAGCATTGCATTTGGTATATTCTTCTGATTATCTCCTCAGCATCATACCCTTTACTTGTATTCCCAACATCCATGTCTCGGCCTGGAAAAGTTTCCCTCGTAGGCATTTCTCGGTCCAACATCCACAAAGCCTAACCACCCTGTCTTTTACAGCTCCAAAAATCCTTACCACTAGCTCTGAGCTACTCAGTTACTGCCTACAATTATCTAATATTATAAGAAGAAAGATAAACCTCAAAAAAAAAAAAAACCTCAAACTCCTAAATTCTGATTCAAATAAGTAGAAACATGAAGGCACATCTGCCTTACTATTTAGTTCACACCCTTAAAGTCAGTTCTCTATTCTTAAAGACTTTCTCTGTACTTCTTCATTTTCCCTTTTCCCTTAATCACAAACCCAATCTCTTTCTCACACAGCTCTCAATATTTTTGTCTCTTTCTGCCTTAAAAAATCACAATCCCTTAATCAGAGCCCCAATCTCATTCTCACCCAACTTTCTCTATTTTTGTCTCTTCCTCCCTAAGAAGCAAAACAAAAGAAAAAAATAATAATTTTGTTTTTAGAAATCTAGAATCTGAATTTTTTCCCAATTGCACCATAAGATGCCTATTGTATGCAATAAATAACTGAGTTAACTTGCTTTCTATGTATTTTGTTAGGTTCTACTTTATGTATCTTGCTGGGAGAATTCAGACCCTTACCTTTGTTCAGTGTGATGCAGGCATAATTAGACCAAACTTCACCTTTAAAGACATAGGGGGAAATATGAAGTTTATGAGTTTAACTTATGCGCCAACTCAATATAGAAGTGGCTTATTTTATACAGATAAATTAGATATGGCTGCACTCAAGCAAAAACGGGCCCTACTGTCCAAGGTCATTTTCTTATGCATGGTATCACTATGATACTGCCCACTTTTTAAAATTTGCCATTGCTATTTTTCTCTGTTTATATACAATTAGTCTATTAAATTTCCAATGGTTCAGAAGGTTCTTATTAGCATTTTGTAGAGAGAAAATATTGACAGAATAGATTTTTCATGGTTTGGCTATAAATAAGTAGATAGCTTTTGAGTGAGAAATGAAGTACACAAAAGACAAGAGAACTGGATTGCTGCTTTTTAAACTCAGATTATAGAACGTATTTCTAATTTGTTTCTTTCGATGTCAGAGGGAGTTAAAATATAAATTAAGTATAAATATAAATAGTGACATTCTCTAATGATAAGACAATATCATTAAGTTGTAAGGATACATCTTTTTGGATTTAAACACCCAGATCTAGATTTGTAAAAGTGGACCAAATCGTTTAAATTCATTTATTGATTACTTATTATTTTTTACTTGTTTTCTACTTGATCCTTGCTATTAAAACTCTGAATACGGTTGGTCCTACCAATCTGGACTTCAAGAAGAGAATCCTAAGGCTTAGATAGATAAATATTTATCTCAAATATATAGATGGTAAACTGAAAACCAGACCTCAAGGTTAGTTTTCCCTATCTAAATCTAGTGCTCTTTAGATTCTTAACACACTGCTTTCCTCTACTAATAAGATCATCTCATGACTGAATCATCACTACATGGCACGTAAATAATGATACTGATTATTCTGGTACAACTATGATGATTGTTAATATAACAGCATTAAAACAGTGATATAGAAATATTTTATATTTGTAGAAAAATTGAATCCCAGAAACAGTGCCTGGTTCAGGCCATGTATACAGAGAATAACTACACGTGATAGAAACCCATCACACAGCTGTGAGAGTGAGGAGGGTGGAGGTTAAGAGAATGAGCTCTGTTATCATATAACCTGATAATCAGTCTCTACGCCACCAATGACTACATGTATAATTTGTGAGCCACTACATAATCTGTATCAGTTTTCTCAGTTGGAAATTAAAAAGTTCCTATGTTATAGAATTTGTCATGAGAATTAATCTATATAAAGTGCTTAGAACAGCCCCTGGTACATTATAAATACTCAAAAAAGCATGTGGTTGAAAATGTAAATTATATTGATTACGTACTTTCAATTAATTAGTGACCAAGAATACTTTAACCCCATTTTTTACTTAGAAAAATGAAAACAAATTCATGTGTGATTCACTGAGATTGTAACAGCACTAAACTCTCTGCTACACTTGTTTGCTATTTCACAATACTTACATGAATATGCACTCAATCTGGAAAGGCAGCATTAATCAGAATTGTAATCACTCTAAGAATGCTATAAAAACAGGAGCCCCTGTTTCTTTTACCAAAGAACATTTTGAACTCTAAGACATTTTGAACTCTGTCCCAACTTTACTTAAGGGTAACTGCATCAACAATGAAGATACTTTGTATTTTTCTGGCCTTTGTCTTCACTGTGTCTTGTGGTCCATCAGGTAATATTTGTTATTATAAAAAAGATGTGAAGGGCAAAATGTTATTATCAATGCTTTACTCCAAAAATAATAAAAACAAATAAATTATTGTTAGAAGATTTCAGATGAACTGCTTTTAAGGCAAGTTAGTCTGTTTTTTTCATGGAGGAAGAAATGAGTAGAACTGGTAGTGGAGAAAATAATTTAAAAAAATTTCCACAAGATGTAGAATTAAATCTATGTATTTTGTTGTTTTGTGTGATGAGACTGTAACTTTTTAGATACTTTCTACTGCCTTTGCTTCAAAATCAATTTTACAAACTGGTACTGTAGCTATTGTCAAAATTAAGCTTTTTATAGCCAACCTAATGATTGCTAGGGGTTGAGAAAAAGGGGGTTGGAGATGATTATTTAGAAGACAAAACATGTAGACTATTTCTTCCATGTCCTTTTCTCTTTACACTTGAAGAAGCATACACAAATTAGATATTTTTAAATGTTCTATTTACAAAAAGATAATTTAAAAAGCTAGTGGCAAAAGCAATATTGTTGGATAAATAAGTATATTGAACTAGCTGATAAAGGGAAAAATCTCAATAGCGTTGCTTGGTCATGATTTCAGAAACAGAATGGTATAATTCTCCATTTTAGAGTTTACTTTATTCATATCTGTATCTAAGGATATTAAATCTGGACTTATGATCATAGCTACTTTTTCCTAGTTCCACAGAAAAATACAAGAGAAGTTGCAGAGAGAAAAAGAGAATGTCAGCTTGTTCGTGGTGCTTGCAAGCCTGAATGTAACAGCTGGGAATATGTGTATTATTACTGCGGCGTTAACCCCTGCTGTGTGGTACGGGAATACAAAAAGCCAACCCCTGCTGTGTGGCACGGGAATACAAGAAACCAATCATTAACAAAATCACTACTAAACTCCACCAAAAATAAATTATAATTATGAAACACTATATACCATTACATCATAACAATGTTATTAATAAAAATGAATTTTTGTTATCAATCTATATTTAAGTGGTTGATCTCTGGCCTTCTGGATTACACAATTATATCATAATGAGTGAGTTCAATATTGGCTTATATAAGAAAAATAATTAAAAAAAAAAGAGTGGTAGCATGTTCTTCACTAAATCAGCAGAAATTTATCTCCAGCCACGTGACAGAGTACTTTTGATCCTTTACTCTTAGTCTCTGTCCTATTTATTTGCCTGGTAGAGAAATATTTATTTTCTTTTATGTACCTTCTCATAGTTTCCATATTAATGTGTTTTTTTCTTGGACACAAAGTTATACAGATACTAATCACAAAATAGCGAATGTAATAAAAATAATTTTAAGAAAGAGCTAACCAAACTGAAAAGAGAGTAAAATGAAATCTATTAACACCTTACCCATGCAAAAATACATCAAAAAAGAAAAACAGCAGGAGAAAAAACACTAAGCCCTAAGAGTAATTATGTTGAAGAGACGAGTTCATGGGTGATTTATTTACTTCTTTATATTATTATATTGTTTTACATATGTATTTATTATTTTATTATCAGAATAAAAGCAAATTAAAGCATTTTAAAAGTTTCTTAAAGTTTAAAATAATATGAAAATTTAGAACAATGCAGAAATGTTCAAAGATAAAAAGAAAAGTCACTTCTAATTCTAACATCCAGAGCTGACTATTATAATCAATCTTGAACATATCAATTCAAGGGTCTCCTCTCTTTGTCCTCAAGAATGTTATTTAACTTCTCTCATCTTACACATCAACACTGCACGCTTCTGTTTTTGTCCTTGTCTTCAACGAATTCATTGGGTTTCCAAGTTTCCACATTCCACATTAATTTCTATTACGATATTAAAATAATTTTAACATAAACTTTCTTATGAATTATAAATCATCAGTAAACCTTGGCATTCAGAATTTAAAGTATCCACTGAATGTATTTCTTACTTAAATCTATATCAACAATCTGGACAGTATAAAAATTTAGGGCGGAGTTCTGACTTAGAAGAAATCAAAGAATTTCAGTCAATTTAGGTTTAAGAGGAATAGACAACTTGCAGGTTTCTTACTTAAAATATTTGCCTAACAATGTGATCACTCATTAGAAAATATAGTAAGAGGAGCAAACTTGGAAAGAAACACTTATGACGTATTAAGTTTACACTTTCCTGCCATATTCATGTGGAAAGCACAAGAAAGAAGAATGTGCTTTTAATATAGATTTGTTGATCCATTAACTAAAGCAGTGAGATAAAATCACCCAATAAAAAGCTACAGACTGATGTGGAAAAGTCTGAAATCCTGTGGAATAGGATTTACATAATTCTATGTGAAAATTGGAACCCACAGAGGAGGATAAGAAAGAGTTAGCCAATATGAAATCACTCCTAGGCTGTGTCTTCTTAGGCAAGCTTTCAGACATAGAAGAAAATACGCAACCTCATACCCTATTATATTCTATGTTAATTTTTGTCACACAAGATTCATGAGCATACTAAAATGTTGCGTTTTTCTTAGGCTTTAAGTCATCTAGTTTTCAGAGTCGTTTATTGCACAGGAATATTAACCAGAACAGAGCTTAACTTTCAAATTAGAGAATTTTTGTTTGTTTGTTTGTTTGTTTTTGTTGTTGTTGATTTAAGTAGCAATAAGAAATAAATTATGGGCAGGGCTTCTGGAAAAATGGAGTAAAGATTTCAGAAAATCTGCTTCTCCATAAAAGTAAAAAAAATACTGTCATAAAATTGTCCAAATACACTTTATAAGGAGCTCTGTAAATTAACTAGACTTGCAAAAAATCCAAGGAGCCTTTATTCAAGAGAAATTACTGAATTTCAGTAAGAACAATGAGGTTTTAATTGCCTTACTTCCATTCCCCCCTTTCTAGCTCCACAGTAGCCTTGAAAACAGGCTGCCTCCCAACCGTGGTAACTGTTATTATATAAAGAATACAGTATCCACAACTAAAAACAAAATACACATAACCTAATATAAAAAGGTATAAATAGTTGAATAGCTATTTCTGGAAAGAAGATTTACAAATGTTCAACAAGCATATGAAAAGATGTTCCACTTTAATTGCAATCAAAGAAATGCCTGTCAATATTTCAGTGAGATACCACATCCCACCCACTATAATTAAAACAACAGATAATAACAAAAGTTGGGAAGATGTGGAGGACAAATTGGAATTCTCATACACTGCAATCAATTAAGTAGAAAATGGACACACCGGGGGAAAAAAAAAACAAAACAATGAAAACAAAAGCTGATTATTTAAAAGTAAAAATGGTCCTTCAGAAACCTCTAGCCAGATTGATCCAAAAGATAGACAGACAGACAGACAGACAGACAGACAGACAGATAGATAGATAGATAAGATAGAAAACAAGTTATCAATATCAGAAAAATGTCCATCAGTGATAGCCTGGACAAGGAAAATACGGCACATATACACCATGGAATAGTATGCAGCCATAAAAAACGATGAGTTCATGTCCTTTGTAGGGACATGGATGAATCTGGAATCCATCATTCTCAGCAAACTGACACAAGAGCAGAAAATCAGACACTGAATTTTCTCACTCATAGGTGGGTGTTGAACAATGAGAACACATGGACACAGGGAGAGGAGCATCACACACTGGGTTCTGTTGGTGGTGGTTAGGAGAGGGACAGCAGGGGGTGGGGTGATTGGGGAGGGATAACATGGGGAGAAATGCCAGATATAGGTGATGGGGGGATGGAGGCAGCAAACCACCTTGCCATGTAAGTACCTATGCAACAACCCTGCGTGATCTGCACATGTACCCCAGAACCCAAAGTACAATTTTAAAAAATAAAGTACTAATAAAAATTATAACTATATATGAAATAAAGTAGGAGAAATCATTATAAATGTAACAGGTATTAAAGAACAATAAGGGAATATAACAAACAACCTTATGCCAAAACTTTGACAACTTACATGAAATAAAAAAATTCCTGAAAAGACAGGAACTACTCAAATTCACTCAAGAAAATATTTGCAACTTTAATAATCCTATGTCTATTTTTAAAACTAATTTATACTTAAAAATTTTTTCTACATAAAAAATTGTAGCTACAGATGGCTTCATTGGTAAATTCTATCAAATATTTAGTAATGAAATTATATCCAGTATAACACAAACAATTCTGTGTAACTGAATAGAAGAGAACATTTCCCAAATTATTTTAGGAGGCCAGCATTATTCTAATACTAATATTTAAAAATAAATCACAAGGAAACTACAGATTAATCATCCTTACGAATACAGATTCAAAACTGCTTAACAAAATATTATGGAATAAAATGTAAATTAATGTCACACTCAGAAATCCATCATTATAATTCCAAATAGTAAAAGAAAAGAAGCAGAAAATTAAGCTTTAAAATGGTGAATTAAATAATAAGAGAGCTGAACATAATGACATATTGACTCTTTGAAGAGAAACTTGGAATTCACTATATCTAACACATAATTAGACACACACACACACACACACACACACACACACACACACACACAAAAGACCTCTCTATACACTGAAGACTACCTTGTTGAAAGGAATTTTTAAAAACAAATAATAAAAAGATAAACTTTGTTCATGTATTAGAAATATAAAATGTCAAATTTCATCCAATTAATATATAGATTCAACAGAATCCCAACAAAAAATCCAAAGGGCTTTAAAAATAGATATTGACATTCTGACTTAAAAATGGATATGTAAATTTACAGGACCTAAAAACTACCAAAATAATTTGAAGATGATAGAACTAAGAAAATTTATCGTACCCGATTTCAGGTTTTACTAATTACAGTGAACAAAAGAATTTTGTACTGACAAAAAAAAAGCAAGATATAGATCAATGAAACATTAGATAGAATTCAGAACTAGACCTTGACGTGTATATAAAATATATGTAAAATCAATTGACTTTTTACATAAATGCCAAAGAAATCCAAACGGATTATATCTCCATTTTAGGAATGTGTATTCTAATAACAATGTTGCATCTTGGAAATTCACTATAAAACCAGAGATACCGTTCTTCCCTCATGAGGTTTTTAGTTTTGTTTGAATAAAGTTACAATCGAATTGAATAATTAAAATCCTGTGGAGAGAGCTAAGATTTCTGGTATAGGAACTTTTGCCTCTGGAAAAATAGGAAGGTTTCTTCTTCAAGATATAAGAGTCCTAAGGCATTCTACTTGTAGTAGGAAGCCCATTCAGCCCACATTCACAGACTTTACTAAAAGAATTCCATTGCAGAGAGGAAAAGATGGGCATGACAACCAAGGAAATCCTACAATATAATTCAGTTCTTCATCCAACGTGCGAGTAAAATAAATAGCATAAATATCTAAGATGACAATGACAAACAGAAAGCTAGACCCAGAGAAAACAGATCAAGGAAAAGAAAATAATGTAATATAAAACAAACAAACAAAACCTCTCTAAAATGTATTTATTGAGGCATTCAAGAAGCCTTTACATCTATCATATAGGCCTATTATTCTATGACATAAGAATAATCAGAGAACAGAAAAGGATACTGATATTTCTTTTTCAGCAAACAAAAAAATGCTTAAAATGTAAAGGCTAAATATGAAAGTAAAAGATTTATTTAAAATAAAAAACAGACATAAAAGTAGGAGAGAAAAGATAAAATTATAGCCAAATAGCTAAATATTTGACTTAAAAACAGCCCCAAAAGAGAGAAAACAGACAAATAAGGAGGGACGAACTTATCAGAGAAAAAAAAAATATAGAAAGATAAAAAAATTACCCAGATCCAATGAAATATATAAGCTCATCAATACCAGAAAGACAACTTATTCATAAGAAATTTACACCAAGAAATGTGTGAATCACAAAATTTGGGAGACTGAATAAAGAAAACCAA